GTGGAATGATTGATTACTGAAACCAGTTTCATCTACATTTCAAATGGTGAACGGTACTATTCGGCCAATAAAATGTAAAGAACTCTTCCTCTCCTCTCCTCCATGCGCTCTCACAGCCGACTCACTGCTACCCTCAGTAGCCATTACACACACCAACCAAGGAAGGGTTGCAGGTAGATATGAAATTCCTCCTGACAGCTGTTTCGCCTTCATAAGGCTCATCAGAGAAGATGATATCGAATAGGATGATATCAGGTGGAGATGGTCAGATTTATACTACAAAACATGGGCGCAAGATTACAGGCAAAGTGTGAGAATGAGAAGCTACAATTCTCCAGCAACACAGTGCCAGGGGTTCCAAGAAAATGGCAGGTGAGAAATCCAATCACAAGCTGCTAACATTAATTTTCTAACGGCTAGGTGATAGTTTTTTAAAAGAATTTTGGCGAGCCACCAAACAAAGTGAAAGAAAGTAGAGTACTAAGCATGCAGACAGTGCAGCAAAAGTTACAAAGAGTGCACACACGCATGCATGGACTGTGGTTACATGTAGATCTACTTTTCACTTGGGCAGTTCTCCAGCTAACCGCGCAGGCATGCAGAGACGCACCACGTCGACTGTCCCCGCAGAGTCCCCCTCCGGCGTTCTCCCGAGCAACAGATCTCCGCTGGCCGTCACACCTTGCTGCGCACCGTACGTGGCCGGACCGACCGCTACCTCGCGCTGTCCCCATTTTCGCCTCCTTTGCTCGCTGCCGTTGAACGTCGAGACAACCCGGCCGAGCGTGGCGAAAGCAGAAATGAGAGTCCTAGGAGGAATTCGCTCATCTGCCCCCACAGCTGAGTTGTCGACGAAGACCATGTTTCCACGATAATGACACCGCTCCCTTCCTTCCATTATCGACACACTCACTGAAGTACCGCTCCACTGGCACACAGTAGTAATTATAGCAATAAAAACTGCTTTATGGCAGTTTTCTAAAAAAAGTTATTGTGTTCTAGTCCATGGACCTCGTCTAAAAAGTAAGAAATTAACGAAATGTGATAGCCGAAAATTAAAATTTCACACAAAACCTCACAATAATCACACACAGGATGCGAGACGACCTTTTCCCCTCGTGGTCCTCTTTCATATGCAAGCACACACTTGAAGATCTAATAGTACGGCTTTCAGCACTTGTTTATTCCGACACTTGTACTTGTACAAGTACATGTACTGCGCCAACATGCTTGCATATGCATTTCGTTAATTTCTTACTTTTTAGACGAGGTCCATGGACTAGAACACAATAACTTTTTTTTAGAAAACTGCCATAAAGCAGTTTTTATTGCTATAATTTCTTTTGTTTTTTTGGCTAAAGGATATAATTGTGTAACCAAATGGAATGCCCTAATGATGGCCTACATGTAGCGCCTCTGCATGTTATTATTATTATTATTTTACTAGGGTGTTTCCCACAGACCTATGTTCTTCTTACGGGAGCCCCTATGTGTACATGTATCATATCAAATTCAATACCGTATTATACGCATTGATGTGCAAGCCTTTTCTTCCAGAAAATGGAACTAGTCTTGCATACATGTATTCATGTTCTTCTGCAGGGGAATCATATGGGTAGTGGCGGTGATACTTTTTTTATACGCAAGTCATTCTGTGGATGTTGCAGAATTTCATGACTGTCATAAAATTGTCTTGTCTTTCAGAAAATTCAGATGTCCACACCCTTTAGGGTGTGGACATCTGAATTTTCTGGATTACGATTTCACTACAATATGATGTATCACGACAATCCATTACTACAATTATAAACACAGAATCAACAAAAACATCTGCGGCACACACCTGGTTACAATTCTCAAGTAAATGTGATAAAATATTGTAGTGAAATCGTAATCCTGTTGATGTCGATAAAACTTTTGGAAGCAGTTCAGTGACTTCAAAGTGTCCACGATTGTCTAAAACACCACAGCAAAGTAGGAACAATAAACATGCATTAAAATGTAAACAAATACATCGCTGAGTCCGACACCTCGTTCCAACAACTACACTGATCCTGAGGATATAAGGGACAAGGATATATGGTTTTAGGTACTGAGAGATAAACAAGGCACTCCATAATAGTAAAATGTTACACGAGTTCGGGGAGTATGAATGATATCCAGTCAAACCTCTTTAGGACGAACATCAAGGGACCGATGGCATTTGCTCTGTGAGTTTGTGTTAATACAATTATTTCTCCAATAGAGACACGAATAGATTTCTTCTACAGCGAAAGATTCTAAGCCAGACCAAACCATTGACTCGTCTATTATGAAACAAATGAGTCACTGAACCTTTCTTTAGCAACATGACGGCAACTGAAACAACAACAGAGAAAATACGTAACATGTATAGCACATTCTTGCAGGTACTACAAACAGATTGCAGATCGTAATTCTTGCTCTACCGGCACGCAACTTTATTTGGGGCAGTGCAATCTCGGCGCTACTCACAAATCAAACAGTCCAGACTCGAGTAAACAAATCCAATCGTACGAGATTTCCACGAGACCAGACTGCACCCATTGGCTTGTTTCGTATGAAACAAACAAGTCACTGAATGCATGAACCTCTCCATAATGGAGATTTTCCCTGATATGCGAATTTATTTTGCATACTAGTACTCGGCCAATGCGTCTTTGAACCTTTCCCTCCAGTTTGGGAACTGCCAACGATGCTATGCTACTGCAAAATTCAGATTCTACCCTATGATCGGAGCACGGAATGCCGGAAGCAATCATGACCAGTGCCTTACTTGTAACGTACCAATGTACAATGAACATGAGTATTTCGACAACACATCTATTTAAAGCCTCAGCAGCAACATAAGCCTTACCGTCAAGAAGGTGAACTCGCGTTCTTCGCACACTGTTGCAGTGTTGGCAAGGGCAAAGAGAAACGAATGGATCTAAATCCGAATAAAATCAGCGCACGTTTCCGTAAATGAAAGGGTGAGCATAAGCAAACGAATCGAAGGAAGCTGGTCAACTCAGAGATCACCTGTCATTGAGTATTCCGTAAAAGGAGGCCTCGACAGCAGAAAAGCTAAATTTAGAAA